AAACAGAAAGGACTCTAAGGAATAAAAGGCTCTCAGGAAGGGAATTGGCATGAACTCCCGAACTAATTGGGGGCATGGGGGGGGGGGGGAAGGAGCTGCTACAATAAGAGCAAGAAAAGAGTAGAGGAGAGGAAATGGAGGGGCAGAAACATTGAGTTGGGGAAGAAGAGAGGAAAGAGAGCAGGATGAGAGATACCATATCAGAGGGAGCCACTATAGGTCCAAGAAGAGATCTGGTTGTTTCAAGTGGATCCATCTCTGCCTTCAAAGTTACTTATTTTCACCACTAAATTGTATCCAACAGGTATCATAGCACACGAGGATAATTCCTTTGGCAAGGATTTATTTATATCATAGGAGCCTTAAAATATTAAGTGCATACTTTACTCTTCTTGCTCAACTAACAAATCAGGGCAGGGCCTGATGTCATCAATGATATGGATTTGACTCTTGCTGTATTATATGAACCCTTAAATAAGAATTGATTTTTAAGAGTGTTGCAGAGATTTTTGGATTTTCAAATTTCATTTGCAAATGCCAACCATGGAGGTATAAAAACTGATCCAGACCCCGGAACATGGATGTCAATAAGGAGGCCTCTGCACTCCAGGGAGCCTCTGGTGGTGGATTAGTATTCTTTCCTGGTGCAAGAAGGGACTTTGAGAGGCCATCCCACGTGAAGGGTTACACTCTGGCCCTGGACACATGGGGAAGGGCCCAGGACCAGCACAGGAAGGTTTGGTGGACTTTTTGCAGAGCCCCTGTTGAGGGCCCGACCCTGCCTGGGGAGTGGTGGATGGGTGGGGTGGGAGGGGTGGGGGGGTGGGGAAGGAGGGTTGAGGGTGAGGGGAGGGAGAGGGGGGAGGAGAGTTGGGGGTGAGGGGAGGGAGAGGGAGAAGGGACTTGAAATAAGCTTGTTCCCTAACTAGAACTAATAAAATAAAATAAAATAAACCTTCAAATTTCAAGCAAATTCTTCTATAAGATGGCTATATACAGGTGAGCACATTTAAAGTCACAATATAAGATGTGATGTTTAAATAATATCTTGTGGTGGCTTGAGACATAACTCAGTGGTTAAGGGTGCTTGCTGTTCTCACAGAGGACCCAAGTTTGGTTCCCAGAACCCACAGGGCAACACATAAGCATTTATAACTCCAGTTCCAGGGGATCTAATGCACTATTCTGGTCTCCACATGCACCAAGAACTTTTAAAAACTGACATTTTGTGCTGGAGAGAGGGCTCAGAGGTTAAGAGCACAGGCTGCTCTCCTAGAGGTCCTGAGTTCAATTCCCAGCAACCACACGGTTGCTCACAACCATCTATAATGAGATCTGGTGACCTCTTCTGGACCACAGGCATATATGCAGGCAGTACACTGTGTTCAAAATAAATCAAGCTGGGGTAGTGGTGCTAGCACATCTTTAATCCCAACACTTGGGAGGCAGAGGCAGGAGGATCTCTGTGAGTTTGAGGCCAGCCTGGTTTATAAAGCAAGTTTCAGGAGAGCTAGAACTATTGCACAGAGAAAGCCTGTCTCAAAAAAAATAATCAAAATAAACCAATCTTTAAAAAGAGTTAAAAACCAACATTTTGCACAGCATCCCTTGCGAACCTAAGACTGTAACCATAATGGTCATCATTAACTCATACTGTTTTTTCTTAAGCTATTAAGAAGGCTAGAGAGATGGCCTTGTAGCTAAGAACATTTGCTGCTCTTATAGAAGGCTCAGGTTTGTTTCCTGCACCCACATAATGACTCATGGAGCCCTTGACTTCAGTTCCCAGAGATCCGACACCTTCTTCAGGATCTGAGAGCAGCAGGCATGAGCATGGTGCACATACACACACACACACACACACACACACACACACACACACACCCAAAAATGTGCACACATAAAACAAATAGTAACCTATTAAACAACTACATAAATGTTTTATTTCCAGCTGGGCTGGCCAGAGAGCCCCCGATATTCCAGGGTTTCAGGAATGCATGGCAGTGTCTGACTTTTTACCTAGGTTTGGGAATTTCAGCTTAGGTCCTCTTACCTTCACAGCAAGTGTACTTAACCACTGAGCTATCTCCCCAGCCCGATAGTACCATGTTTAAAGTCAGATAATTTTATTAAGTATCTATATATCCATGCTTGTATAGATACATGATTGAATGACTAATTGAATTCTTTACTAAATGCTTCCTATTAATAAATACAAAAAGAATGAAGGAGGAATAAAATCCACCATTAAAATAACACTATAATAACACTATAATAACACAGGCTTGTGGTACTAAAGTCAGCACAAAAGTATGAGGGGGACAGGACCTTCACATATCAAGTCGAGTCATCCAATAACCTGCTAATCACAAAGGGAAGCATGGTAACTGCACAATGGATAAGACAACAGCCCAAGTAAATGGAGTCACTAGATTTAGGGCACACAAACTGAGGTCATTCCACTTCTGTGACATTCTTACCTAAATTTTGTAACCCTAGAAATTGATTAGACATTTGTGGTCACCATTAAGAAAGTCCTGGAAGAAGGGAGACACGACAAGGAAATACAGTGTGATCCAGAAGCAGAAGAAGAACTGGGTAACCCAGGAGGACTCAGATGATTTTATTAAGTATGACTAAGTGGCTTGACTTTATTAACTACTTTAGATGCTAGCATTGTGCTGATGTTGGCTTCTGGAATTATTATTCCAGAATAATTCTATTCTGGTTATTCAGGGTGCTTGTTGGATGAGGGTTGAGTGCGAGCTTTCCATTTCTGCAACATTTTGGATCAAGTTGTTTCAAATATTTTAGACAAATTGTTGTTTTAATCAGGTACTGAGAGAAATCACCAAATTTACAGCACCGACTGGAAGAGTAGGAAGTTCAGCATTTAATTGGGGCTTGCTTACAGTTTCAGAGGTTCAGTCCATTGTCATCATGGCAGGAAGGATGGCAGCACATGGGCAGACATGGTAGCTGAGAGTTCTGCCCCCTGATCAGCAGGCAGCAGGAAGAGAGAGACTCTGGACTTGGAGTGAGCTTTTTGAAACTTCTAAGCCCACCCTAGGTGCCACACTTCCTCAAACAACACCATACCTCCTAATTCATATAGTGCCACTCCCTGGTGACAAAATATTCAAATCTTTGAGCCTATGGGGGCCATTCAAAACCACCAGGCATTCCTAACTCTTTTATAGTAGCAGGAGCAATAACACCCCCTTCCATGGCAGAGTGAGGGCCTGATGAGGTTTCTCTCAGCTATACCCTTAGGTGGCTCTGTGGTTTAGGTTGGCACAGAGTGGTATAGTGAGGGTGGGGGTGGGGGGTGAGGTTGGAAATACTGAAATGCCCTTAGGGTGAAGCACCTAGCAGAGAAGAGATGGGCAAGAGTGTTGTAGAGGTCTTATCTCTGAGTAAGGTTGGCTGTGTTGTCTGAGCTGTGGTCAGGAATTTAGGAGACTTCCATTGTGATGCAAAAGAAACAGAATGTGTGGACAGGCCCTAGAGGGCCAATGACACAATAAAGACCTAGTTGCCAGGTCCTCAATACCAGAAGCCTAGCAGAAGGGAGATGGAGCCCAAGCTCCAGGTCCCCCTTCCCACCCCCTCCCCCTAGGCTGTCTGAAATGTCACCTTCTACCTGAACACCACCTCCCTGGTCTCAGTCATTAACTCTGGTCCATAACTCCTGCTTGGTTCCATCTCCTCCACCAACTCACACGAGACTGCCATCTGTTCTTCCTGGAATCTCCAAGGTTTTCTGCTTTCCTCGGGCCCTCATGGCCAGTTCTGACAGCTCATCTGAGATGCCTGCCTCACCTCAAACTCCTAACTCTATTCCTTGTATTAAGCAAGGACTATCAGAACCAGCAAATCCTGGGATCACCATTTCCCTTCTTGAAATTGGATCACTACCCCCCTTCTGCTGGGGCTCCCTTCCACCACCAAAGGATAGTATTCGTCCACTAGGAAGAACAGGGTTGGTACAGAAATTTAGCAATCTCTTAAAAGATGTCAAAGATGTTCTTAAAAGTATAGCAGGCAATGAGGAGATGATGACTACAGAAGTCAGGGAGTCTTTTGACGATGCCAGCACTTCCGAGGATATGTTAGAACCTAAAATCAGAGGTGTTGATAGGAGAAAAAAAATGGGATTTAGAGATATGCTCACTAATTTCCAACTAGAGAAAGAACAGAACATGAAGAAGAGGCGGGAGATGATATTGCATAACCAGAGTGCTAAGAACGCAATTCAAGCACATAGAAGGGATCGATGCAACTCAGAAGAGAAAAAAGGCTGTGATGACATGCATCTGAACATAGAAAGAGGCCGGTATGGATCCCTTCACATTCATGGGGAATATAGAAGACTCAGGAACAACATGGAGCAGTTACTGCAGGAAGCAGATCACTGGAGTATACAACACCGCGAGCTCAGTGATCTAATGAGGTCGTATCAGGAAAGCCACAAAGAAAGGAGAGAACCCTCTGAAAACAATCACATCTGTTACCAAACCCAGGCCAACAACGAACCGTCAACCAAACAGGAGCTGGAGGCACAGGTAAAAAAGCTGAGCCATGACACGCACTCGCTGCATTTGATCGCAGCCCTGCTGGAGAACGAATGTCAGATCCTACAGCAAAGGGTAGATATTCTCAGGGAGCTCCATCTCCACGAAGCTGAACCCCAGCAAGAGAGGCCATGCTATCTGCAGGACAGGAAATATCAGAAGTTCGTGGAAGCAGACAAGATGGAATGTAACAAGCAGAACCCGAAGGTAATGGAAGGCACGTATCCTAAGAAAGAAAAGATCTCCAGGAACTCAGATGCTTGTCTGACAAAGAAGGCTCGGAATAACCGCTGCAACACCCGCGTTGGAAGAAAAACTCTCCTGGTGAAAAGGAGAACCCATAGCAGCTTCCGGTAAAAGCCATCAGAAGCAGAGCCAGCTTCAGTAGTAACTGTCATCAGCCTAGGGTAGATCCTCTATTTCAACCAAGAAAGAGCCCTAGAATAAGAGGTTCATATTACCTCAGTAGTTAGAAAAGTTTGGACCTTAAGACCATTCTGTGAATGTCAACCAAGTGAAGATTGGAATAAAAACAACAAAAGGAAAGCACGTTGTTTGACTGTTTTCATTTTTATTTCTTTAACAGCATCTGGGGGAGATAACTTACTAGTGCATTGAGGAAAACTAACTTCCTTTCCCAGAGGAGGCATTCCCTGGCAATAGCTCCCCTAAAGCACCACTAGACAACCAGTTTTTTTTTTAAAGCATTTTTTATGTAGTTTTGTTATCATGGCTGAATTTTAAGTATTTCTTATAAACTCCTTTAATTGAAAACATTTTCATACAATATATTTTGATAATGTTTTACCCTCTCCTAACTCCTCCCAATTCTTCCACCTCTCTACCCATCCAACTTTACAAGTGCGCTCGCGAGCGCGCTCTCTCTCTAAAACAAAAAAGAAACACACCACCCAAAACAAAAACAAAAATGGAAAGTAAAACATACAAGCAAAAGTTTAATAAGACAAAAAGAATGCCCAAACAAAGCAAAAAGGAGACAAAAAGTCTGCAAAGATACACATTCATTTTGTGTTGGCCAACTACTGAGCATGAGCATGAGCATGAGTCTGTCTTCTGGGAGCTTTAATATACTCCCTGAGTTTTGGGCTTTTACATGATTTGTAACTTTAAAAAATTGATAGTGTGTAATTTACTTTCTATTCTTTAGGCTTTTGTTTTTAAATAAGTATATGGGCATGTGCACTTGAGCATGCTTGTGTGTGTGTGTGTATGTGTGTGTGTGTTTGTGTGTGTGTGTTTTATGGGCCTGTGTGTCATATGTATATGGTTGCTCATGGAGGCAAAAAGAGAGCATCAGGTCAGTCTTGGAGTGACAGACAGTTGTAAGCCACTCATCTGGGTGCTGGGAACTCTGGAATGGTAACAGGCATTCAACCTCTCAAGCCATTTCTCCAACCTCAATAAGTACTGTCTAGCTGCATATAAACGATTTGTTTGCTTGTTTTAGATGGGGGGTCTCACTAAGTAGACTAGGTTGGCCTCAAACTCGAAGAGCTCTGTCTGCCTCTGCCACCCAAGTGCTGGGACTAAAAGTGTGTACTACCATACCTGACTTCCATGTTTCCTTTCTATCTGTCTGTCTGTCTTTATTTTTCTTTCTTTCTTTTTCTTCCTTCCTTCCCCCCTTCTCCCTCTCTCCCTCCCTCCCTCCTTGATTCCTTCCTTCCATTCTTTTGTTCTCTTTCTCTCTCTTTTTCTTTTTAATGTTTATTGATTCTCTGTGGAGTTTAACATCATGCATTCCAATCCCACTTATCTTCTTGTCACCTCATATCTTCTCTCTGCCCTTGCAGTCTCCCTACTAAAACAAAACCAGTTTAAGAGAAAAATCCCAAAACTCAACACAACAACAAAACAGAACAAAAATAGAAAGAGAAGAACCTTGTTGTGGAAGCTGCCTTGTGGCCCATTGAGTCACACACTTTACCCTTTAGTACATCATCTTGCAAGTGTTCATTGCCATGAATCCTTGATCTGGCTTGAGGCCTCTGGTTTCTGCTACACCATTGATAATGGCTTCTCACTGGGACTCCTCTCGGATATCCTGTTCTCTCCTGAGGGGCAGGGCCAGCTCTGCTCTCTTGCTGCAGTATCCAGTGAAGGGCAGGACCAGCTATCCCAGGGCCAGTGAATAGCAGAGCTGTCTCAGCATAGCATGGTTCCAATGAACTTCTATGCTAACACGGGCCATGGACAACATCAAAGCCCCCACTGCAGCACAACCAAAGAACTAGACAGCCCTAGGCAGTGGACCTAGCAAGATGTCTCCATAGCCACAGGTGACAGCCCCGGCCCTCCAGGTCAGTATGACCCAGGCAGAGGCATGGCCCACATGGTCTCAGGTTGGTGACCAGACCCTAGTCCTCCATACTGCTCTTGGTAGTAACAGGAGCCATGGACATTAACTCAGACCCTAGCTGCTGTAGGGCCACAGACCCAGACATAGCCCTCAGCAGCAGCCCTGGTCAGACCATACTATGGCTCCAGGTGACAGCACTGGCCACTCAAATTGGCTTGATGCCAGCAGCAACACAGTCCTGGGACACCAACATGGTCATAGGTGGCAACCTAGATATTGGACATCCATGTGGCCTTTAGTGACAACATGGGCCAGAGATATCAACAAATACCCTATCTGTGGAAGGACCATGGTCCTCAGCAGCAGCCTCGGCCAGGATATCACCATGGCCCCAGGTGGAAGCACAGATTGGCATGGATCCCACAGAAACATGGCTCTCAGCTACCAACATGTATAGTGGGAAAAAACCAATACAGAGTCGGGTAGAAATATAAGGGTATTTAATAGGGAAAAGCTTTACTTAGAGAGCGACCTAGCCAGCTGGCGTGGCAGCAGTCTGTACGCAAGCCCAAAAGAGAAACCGAAAGCGAAAACGCAGTCACACTATGTCCCCTAACTTTGTCTACAATTTCTCTTAGTATGTCCCATTTTACCACAGTTGAAACATCTAGGTTCCTGGAGCCTTCGTGGTCTCCAGGGGAAGGCTCTTCCTACCCAAGGTTCTGATTCATAGTAGTAGTAACCTCTAGCCTCTTGGTATCTATGTTGACCTCTGTAAGATGCTTCTCCTTGCCAAGTCCTTACATCCTCACCTCTAGACCTTTTAATTTCTTGTTGCCGTTTTAAACCTTTGGAGATGGCTTCTCCTACCCAAGCTCTAGGGAGGCTTTAAAACCTTTCTTTATGCCCTGATGCTCAAGGAGCTTTGTCTCTTCCCTTATTAATGCCTTCCATTGGATTTGGCATGAATTCTCAAGTACAGCTGTTACCAATTATTCCCAATCTGTGGGTGTCATCCTGTTAAAGGTAGCCCATGAATGTAATAGCTGTTTTATGTATGGGCTATGGAGACCATATGAGACAACTGATTCTTTAATATTTTTAAGATCCTTTAGCTGTATAGGTTGTCATTCATAAGCCATTCGTCCATGAGGGTGTTTTTTAGAAACTGGCTTTTCTACCATGGTAGCTGGGTACATTAAAGGTGTATGAGTAACAACCTTAGAAGAATAGTCACGATACCTCGGTGGAGTAGGTGCCTGGGATTGGAGTGATTCTGTTTCTGAGGCATCCCAATGATCTTTAAGTCTAGTAATGATATCCTTTTGAAAAGTTTCATTGATTTTGAGGCCTCAGCAATCGACCGTATGGATCTATGTAATCTGTCAGCCCTGTACTGTAAATTATCTTCCAAACATTCAAATCTAGACTCAAATTTCTGATCTGCTACCTTGGATGCTTCAATGACTGATTG